CAATAAGAAAAATATATACTTTCTTCCTGGAGCTATAGATATTTAAATTTTTTCAATTTTCTGATGAATGAACCCCAAGCTTACATTTAAATTTTTAAATTAAATATATTTTTTAAAGTCAGAAATCATAGAACAAACAGATTTGCATTGTTACCTGGAGACAGACAAAGACCAACTATGCATATTAGTCAAGTAATCCATGTAGTTATAATATGTATACAATTGGTAATAATTTTTCAAGGACTAGGATGTTAAACTGTTGATTTTATTTGATTAATTATAAGTACAGGAATGGCTGTAGGGAGAAAGGCCAGTAAAAAGCAAGTTAGATAATCTGTGCTCTCTGAAGGATTATACTAGTGCAACATGCAGTTTATCATATATGTTATAAGAAATTTACAGAGTGAGGCATTAGAGCACTGTGTCCATCTGGAGCCTGAGCCATCTACTTAGGGAATCTTCCACATGACAAGTATGCTGGTGGATCTGGTCTCCCTGTGGTTTAGGGATGTGTGACGAGATCAGATCAAGCCTGACTCAGTTTTGCTTCTTAGTGAGTGCAAACTTCAGTCATTTGCATTTCCCCTTTGCCATTTTTGTTTAAAGAAACTTAAGTTTGTCATTGCCACCAACTTTAGTCCTCTTTTAAGCAATTATAGGCAAACAGTTATGGGCTTACAGTGCTAGATACATTCTACTATTAAAATTATTTTAAAAAATCATATTAAAAACTAAATTTTACCCATATACTACATATATTCATTTCTATTATCATCTGTGTTAAGAGCATAATACTTTAGGAAATATTGCTATAAGTCATTGCAAAGTAAAGTAAGTTGACTTCATGTTTCTTAGATAAAAATCTAAAACAACCTATGAGGGCAGAAGAGGGTCAGGAATCTTGCAATCCTTGGCAACCCTCAGTCCCCAAACAATGTCTTGGCCAAACCACGTTTTTGGGCTCTTTTTCACTTTTGCACAGCAGACACACAGTTGCAATTCCTTCTTCTCGGTAACAGTACCATTCTGAAGTTTGGCTCGAGAGTAAGAAACACTTTTCTCAATTTGCTCTTTTGGTGCTCTCAAATACAAACACGTAGGGCTTATTTGAGTTTTACTCGTTTCTGCGGAATAATAAAGAGTAATGTAAAAGGCCAAAGAATTACAGAATCTGACCATTTCTTTTTTAAAGTGATGGTCCTCATGTAATAGGTGATATTTATCCTGAATCCTTTCTGAGATAGAAAGTTAGTTGTCTCTGATTTATAAGTATGGACTCATCAACCCCCTTTTTCTAAGACATCCAACTCATATCAATGATATCCTCATAAAGAAGACTGTTTCCTAATTTAAGTTGAAATCAGCCCTAAAGATGCAGTTAAGACTGCTGGCTTTAATAATGTAGAAGATCAAAACCAAACCTGTTGCTGTCAAGTTGATTCCGACTCATAGTAATCCTACAGGACAGTGTAGACCTGCCCCACAAGGTTTCCAAGGAGTGGCTGGTAAATTCAGACTGCTGACCCTTTGGTTAGCAGCCTGAGCTCTTAACCACCAGATGACCTGAAACTGTAACACTACATACACCTAGAAATGTCAAATATAACATGCATTCATTTAAATGTCAAACTGATCTTAAAGAAGAGAAATCCCCAGGTGATAGAAACAAAGAGGCTATAGAAAAATAAAACAAAGTATAATGTAACTATTAGAGAGTAAATAAATATGGAGTAAAGGAGAGGGGGAGAAAAGAGAAGAGGAAGTCCAGAAGTGGTATACTGGACCCAAGTATAAGAAGTCCCAACAGAAACAATTCAAAATTAATTTAGAAGAACTTTTCTACAAACCAGAAGACAAAGGATTCTCACAGAAAAATCAAGCCCAGCTCACAATAAAGATAATTATAAAACACACATAGAAAATTATCCATCATATATGTGAATCAGCAGACACCACAACTATTACAATTAAAACCTCAAAAATTAGAATAAAATTCTGAAAAAATAAAAGTAAAATGAATGTTAAAAATTATGGCAGCCATCCTTCAAAATATTCCTCAAAGATCCCCTGTTCCTGGTGTTTGAGCCCTGTGTGCCAATCCCTGCCACACTGTAATCAGTAGGATATTGTGGCAATGAGTGTGTGATTTCTAAAGCTAGATTACTTCTATTCTTCTCTTGGATCACTCTGTCATGTCAAAAAGACACTCAAGCAGCTCTATGTAGAATGTCTAGGAACTGAGGCCTCCAGCCAACACCAGCACTAACTTGCCAGGCATGCGAGTGCAACATTTTGGAAACAGATTTTCCAACCTAAGTCAAGCCTTCCGATGACTGCCTCCTTGGCTGACATCTTGACCACAATCCTATGAGACTCTGAACCAGAACCACCAAGTTAAGCCTCTTTTGAATACCAGACTCTGGAAACTGTATGAAATAATAAGTGTTCATTATTTGAAAATGTTAAGGTTCAGTAATTTGTTATGCAACAATATAAAACTCATACAAAAGTTATTGAAAATATTAAAGATCTATCCCATGTTCTAAGAAAATAGCATAGAATTGTTTAAAAAAATAGCAGGCAAAATGGGAAATAAGGTCAAATTGGCCTTCTAGAAATTAGGAACAAAATGAACAAAATTAAAAACTGATAGAACTAAATAGCAAAAAGACAACATCAATAATGCAATTAATAAACTGGTAATAGCTATGAGGAAATTTCAGAGTACAGCATTTAGAAACAGAGAAGAAAAATGGGAGAGGTAGATTTACTTGGAGGATAGATTATGAAAGCTGATGGAGTTCCAGAAAGGGAAAAAAAGAAGAATGGGTTAGAGGCAGTTTTCAAAGGTATACTGGCTGTGAATTAATGTAAGATACAGATTTAAGAACCTAGTGAACTCTAATACAGAATATTATAAGAAGAAAGCCACATGTAGAGTCTCTGAAATGAATTAGAAAAACAACAAAGACAAAGCAAGATATGTTAAAAACTGCCAGAGATGAAAAAAGAACCACAATTAGACTGAGAGCTGACTTTTCCACAGCAAATAGAAGCAAGAAAACAATAGAATATTATCTTTTTTTTAATCACTTTTTTTTTTATTGTACTTTGGATGAAGGTTTATAGAACAAATAGTTCCTCATTAAACAGTAGTACACATATTGTATTATGATATTGGTTAACAACCCCACGACATGTCAACCCTCTCCCTTCTTGACCTTTTTATTTTTATTTTTTGTGAAAATATACATAGCCAGACACACCATTTCAAAAATTTGTACATGCACCATTCAGTAACATTGACTAGGCTCTCCCAGTTGTGCTGCTATTCTCACTTTAGATGAAGGTTTACAGAACAAAATAGTTTCTCATTAAACAGTTAGTACCTATGTTGCCCTATGACAATGGTTAACAACTCCACTACATGTCATCACTGTCCTTACTCAACCTTGGGTTCCCTATCACCAGCTTTCCTGTCCCCTTCTGCCTTCTAATCCTCGTCCCTGGACTGCTGTGCCTCATTAGTCCCATTTTGTTTTTTGGAGCTGTCCAATCCCTGGCTGGACAGTGAACCTTGGAAGTGACTTCACCACTGAGCTAAAAGTGTGTCTGGAGGCCATAGTCTCGGGGTTTCTCCAGTCTCTTTTAGGCCAGTAAATCAGGTCTTTTTTGTGTGTGTTAGAATTTTGTTCTACATCCTTCTCCGGCTCTGTCCAGAACCCTCTGTTGTGATCTCAGTCAGAGCAGTCAGTGGTGTTAGCCGGGCACCATCTAGCTGTACTGGACTCAGTCAGGTAGAGGCCTTGGTAGCTGTGGTCCATTAGTCCTTTGGACTAATCTTTTCCTTGTATCCTGTTCTCTTCATTCTCCCTTGCTCCCGAAGGGGTGAGACCAGTGGAGTATCTTAGATGGCTGCTCACAGGCTTTTAAGACCTCAGATGCTACTCACCAAGGTAGAAAGTAGAACATTGTCTTTATAAACTATGTTATGCCAATTGAGCTAGATGGTCCCCACAGCCCTCCACCCAGCAATTCAGTCCCTCAGGGAGTTTGGATGTGTCTATGGAGCTTCCATGGCCTTTCGTTGTGCTAGTTGTGCTGGTTTCCCCAGTATTGTGTACTGTCTCACCCTTCACCAAAGATACCACTTATCTATTGCCTATTTAGTATTTCACCCCCACCCCTTGTAACCAACAAAGATTGTTACTTTTTGTGTGTAAACTTTTTCATATGTTATTACAATAGAGGTCTCATACAATATTTGTCTTTTTGTGATTGACTTATTTCACTCAGCATAATGTCCTCCAGTTTCATCCATGTTATGAGATGCTTCACAGATTCATCATTGTTCTTTCTCGTTGCATAGTACTCCATTGTGTGTATGTACCAGAATTTGTTTATCCATTCATCTGTTGATGAGCACCTAGGTTGTTTCCATCTTTTTGCTATTGTGAACAATGCTGCCATGAACACAGGGGTGCATGTGCCTATTCAAGTGACGACTCTTATTTCTCTAGGATATATTCCTAGCAGTGGGATTGCTGGATCATATGGTATGTCTATTTCTAGCTTTCTAAGGAAGTGCCATATCATTTTCCAAAATGGTTGTATCATTTTGCATTCCCACCAACAGTGTATAAGAGTTCTGATCTCCCTGCAGCCCCTCCAACATTTGTTACTTCCAGTGTTTTTGATTCGTGCCAGTAATTCCGGGCTGAGATGGTATCTAATTGTGGTTTTAATTTGCATTTCTCTAATGGCTAGTGATCGTGAGCATTTCCTCAGGTGTCTGTTGGCCGCTTGAATGTCTTCTTTGGTGAAGTGTCTGTTCATTTCCTTTGCCCATTTTTTAATAAGATTATGTCTTTTTGTTGTACAGGTGTTGGATTTTCTTGTAGATTATGGAGATTAGACCTTTGTCTGACTTGTACTGTCCAAAAATTTTTTCCCAGTCTGTAGGTTCTCCTTTTATTCTTTTGGTGAAGTCTTTTGAAAAGCGTAGGTGATTGATTTTTAGAAGATCCCAGTTATCTAGATTATGTGGTTTGTGTGTTGATGGTTATGGTTTGTATCCTGTTAATGCCGTGTATCAGGGCCTGTAGCATTGGTACTATTTTTTATTCTATGAACTTTATAGTTTTTGGCTTTGTATTTAGGTCTTTGATCCATTTTGAATTAGTTTTTGTATATCATGTGAGGTAAGGGTCCTGTTTCATCTTTTTGCAGATGGATATCCAGTTTTGCCAGCACCATTTGTAAAAAGACTGTCTTTTCTCCAGCTGATGGACTTTGGGCCCTTGTTGAAGATCAGGTGACCGTAGGTGGATGGATTTACATCTGGGTTGTCAATTCTGTTCCATTGGTCAAGGTGTCTGTCATTGTACCAGTACCAGGCTGTTTTGACTACTGGAGCTGTATAGTAGGTTCTGAGATCAGGTAGTGATCTTTATTCTTCTTCTTCAGTAGTGCTTTACTTACTCGCTGCTTCTTCCCTTTCCATATAAAGTTAATGATTAGTTTTTCCATCTCTTTGAAGAATGTTGTGGGTATTTGGATCAGGATTGCATTGTATTTGTAAATCGCTTTGGGTCAAACTGTCATTTTCACAATGTGAGTCTACCTATCCAGGATCATGGTATGTTTTTCCATTTATGTAGATCCCTTTGGGTTTCTTACAGTAGTGTTTTGTAGTTTTTTTTGTACAGGTCTTTTACCACCCTGGTCAGATTTATTCCTAAGTATTGTTTTCCTGATTTCCTTTTCATCATTCTCTTTATTGGTGTATAGGAATGCAGCTGATTTTTGTATGTTTCTCTTGTATCCTGCTAGTCTGCTGAATCTTTCTATTAGTTCAGTAGATTTTTCTTGGAGTATTTAGGGTTTTCTATGTATAGTATCATATCATCCACAAACAGGGACAGTTTAACTTCTTCTTTACCAGTTTGGATGCCCTTTATTTCTTTTTCTTGCCTTATTGCT